AGTTTTACCTGCGTTCCGCCCTGAGTTTTACCTGAGTACGCGGATTTAGAGTGAGTTTTACCATTGGACAAAATGGCAACTCAGTCATTACTCAGAAAAGTGAGTAAAAATTTTTTTCAGTGTAGGGTACCCCCAAATCTAGCTTTCTCATCGGTTTTAAGCCACTTATTTTTCAGACCTTGGCCTTTTCAACGAAAAAAGAAGAAGAAAATATTTGCAAAAAAGTGAGGTATTCCGTCTCAGCTGGGTGAAGAAACTACCGTTTTGGCAACCTGGAATAATGGTTTTAAGCTGCCAAATGAGTTGCCGAGTCAGTAAAATAGGTGGATTTTTCACTCACATGCTTTCTTCCTTTGTAACTCACAACCCCTAATTTGGGGAGGACAAGCTGCCCCAACGGTTCCTGGCCTCATGAAAAGTTGTGAGGCACCGCCCCCACGGCCCCAGAGTTGTGAGGGCAAGCTTCCCCCACTGCCCTCTCCCCCGGTTCCCGCGCCTATGTATGAATCTATGAAATTGTGTTGGTAGATTTCCGATTTCGATTCCTCCAGCTGGGGGGGCTCAAATACATTACGAGCCCCCCCAGCCGAAAAGTTGGAGGGGCTCAGCCCCCCCTAGCCCCCCCGGTTCCCGCGCCACTGCCGCCAGATCCCTCCAGAGCCCAAGAGCTACGGTCCGCCCGGCGGGCCGGGGGGACTGACGACGACGACGAGATGCCGACGTCACCAGGGCTGTTCACGGGCCCTGTGTGCGGTCGGACCGCACACAGTCTCGAAGCTCCGCCCACTGCGTCCCTACGTCAGCCTTCCGTCACCGCACACAGCGATCGCTGTGGCCGGTCGGGACCCGGGACTGGCCACAGCGGACCGTCCACCGCACGCAGCCGTGACGTCAGAACCGCCTATCCATCCCCTACCCCCAAGCCTGCTGGACGCACCGCACACACCGCACGCAGCAGTGTGCGGTGCCCGTGAACACCCCTCCGATGTTTGCCGACGTCGGGCCGGCGTTGGGCATGCCCAAGATTCTTACCAATTCTTACGGCATGCCTACTGGAAACTTTGTGTACTGCAAAACGATAAGCTAACAATTTAACATTAGGGAAATTATGTTAGCTAATATGATGCCCTTACATTTAATATACAACTTATTTAAAAACGATGCGTCTTAAACCACAAAAAAACACCAAATGTCAAAGTATTTAAATCTTGACAAGCTTTTTTAGAGGTCAATGGGCGGAGGCCGAGCAAATAGCAATAGATCCTTGAGGTCCATCGCCGGTTTGCCATCGCCTTGGGTCCATGGTCCATCCAAGATTAGTAAAAAGCAAGGCTATATAACCGTAAAAAGTAATCTTGCATCGCTTGCATCCAAGGCCCGGTCCATCCTTGAGTAGATCGGACCCATCGGACCCTGGATCGACCGTGATGGTAATGGCGCGGGTTCGTGTGCTCTGAGGGAGTCGTTTTTCCATCGATTTTTCTAGTGTTTCAAGGTAAGATTTTGCAGGAAACTTGGTGTAAATGTGAAGAGTAAGTGTTTTTTTTTAAGATGGCGTGACACTAATCAGATTGAATGAACTACAATGAAACGCTAGGTTACGATGGCCTCCATAGGCGCGGGAGCCGGGGGGGCAGTGGGGGCAGCTTGCCCCCCAACTCTGGGGCCATGGGGGCGGTGCCTCCACAGCTTTGAGACGGAATACCACACTTTTTTGCAAATGTTTTTTTTTTTGTTGAAAAAGCCGAGGGGTGAAAAATAAGTGGCCTAAAACCGGTGAGAAAACTAGATTTGGGGGTACCCTAGGTTAATCTCTATTATGGTGTGCCCCCCAGTCGGAAAGTAGTTCCCGCGCCCCTGATGGCCTCTCACTCTCCGACCAAAAATGCAGTAAAAAAAAAACTTCACGAAAAGGAAATTCAGCAAGCCTAAAATGCAATGTTTTTAGATGACCTAGGTTGACTTTGACCCTGACCCTGACATCTGCACATCGTCGAATAACAGGTTTCATGATAGGTGGGAGGTAAGACTTGCAAAAACATACCGAAGTCAAGGTGTCAAAAGCTCACAAGACCCATAGCATAGCTAACGCAAGATATTGAGTTTTGGTCGTTTGGGTCATGACATGACCTGAAAAACAACGTCATATCTACCAAAAACCACATAAACTTGAAATTTTCAGTGGATGCTGAGCAGTGGCGCAGCCAGGGGGGGTGAAAGGGGTGAGATCTCACCCCCGTCTCTTATCCAAGGGGCCCACCGTCGATTCGAACTGTAACGTTATGCAGCCTGACAATTTTTTATCTCTAATGTCAAGGTCCGTCATAGGACTGAAAAACAGTTTTCAGGCCTGATAGCCCCCCCCCTTTAGGATTTATAGTCCCATTTTATGATTTAAGGGGGTACATCCAAGGCCTGATTAACCTAATCCAAGGCATAGGAGGGCCCGTTCCATGGCATGAGAGGGCCATTTCAGGCCTGAGAGCGCCCATTTCAGGTCTGTGAGGGCCCATTTCAGGCCTGAAAGGGCCCAGTTGAAGCTTAAGAGGGCCCATTTCAGGCCCTAGAGGGCCTGTTTGAGGCTTGAGAGGGGCCCATTTCAGGCCTGAGAGGGCCCATTTGATGCCTGTGAGGGCCCATTTCAGGCCTGAAGGGGTCCATTTCAGGCCCTAGAGGGCATGCTTGAGGCTTGATAGGGCCCATTTCAGGCCTGAGAGGGGCCCATTTCAGGCCTGAGGGGGCCCATTTCAGGCTTGAGAGGGCCCATTTCATGCCCTAGAGGGCCTGTTTGAGGCCAGAGAGGGCCCGTTTGAGGTCAGAGAGGGCCCGTTTGAGGCCAGAGAGGGCCCGTTTGAGGCCTGAAAGGGCCCGTTTGAGGCCTGAGAGGGGCCCATTTCAGGCATAAGAGGCACCATTTCAGACCTGAGATGGCCCAGTTACGGTATGAGGGGGCCCTTTTTCGACATGATAGGGACCATTTCCGGGCTGAGGGGGCCCATTTCAGGTCTGAGAGGGCCCATTTCAGGTCTGAGAGGGCCCATTTCAGGTCTGAGAGAGCTAATATCAGGCCTGAGAGGGCCCATTTCAGGCCCTTGAGGTCCTGTTTGAGGCCTGAGAGGGGCCCATTTCAGGTCTGAGAGGGCTAATGTCAGGTCTGAGAGGGCCATTTCAGGCCTGAGAGGGGCCATTTCAGGTATGAGAGGGCCCAGTTCAGGCCTGAGAAGACTCATCCCAGGAATGAAAGGATCATCCTATGTGTGGGAGGGTCCGTACTCCGTGCCTGGTCTGGGTCTGAGAGGGCCTATCCCAATCCTGATTGAGCCGATATCATGTTTGATATAGGTCAACTCACCACATGTATATTGATGGCCCAGTTCATGTCTAATGGGCCCATCTCAAGACTCAGAGATTTTATGCTTCAGGAAGCCTACCCCAAGCGTGAGGGGGCCCATAGAGGTTTTTGAGGCTCATGGAGGTCCCGCAGTACGATATGTCAGCCTCTGAGAAAGCCACGCAGGGCCCTTAAGATGCCAAGCCGACATCTGAAAATTCCTCTTCTCTTCAGGCCTGTGCCTGCCTCACCGCCCGGCCCCACCCTGACGTCTAGGGGTTTGACGCCTAGGTATTCATCAGGGCTCCACGCCGGTCCATGATGGCTCCAAACTGACACCTGAGGCTCCTGCACCGGCTTTTGAGGGGCCCACCGACCTCTGATAGCCACCACGCAGGTCTCAAAAGACCATGTTGATTGTTGATAGCTAAACCCCCAAGTCTTGGAAGGTCTGTGCTCTATGCAGATTCTTGATAGCTTTACGAGGGCTTGTAAACATCCCGAACTGGCTCTAGCCTAGCTCGACCGCGCCCCGCAGAGCAGGGCCCCAGGCTTTCCAGTTTTACGCCCCTAGGGGATGTTTGAATATTCCCTTCTAGCCTGACTCCAGGGTCACGTAGCGACAAGTGCGGCGGTAGGCGGCTTTCTAAAGAGCGTCGAAAATCATTGAGAAATTACTTCAGTCATGTTGCAGTTCAGACCAAAGCCCACGTCATCATGTTCATCGATGGAAAAGTTTCGCCTATTTCGACACTCGAGGACATATAAAGCTATAGCGCGCTGAAAGTGGGTTCGATAGCTCTCTAACGCCTGCAATCAGCCAGGGGGGGCGTATCGGCCAAACCCGATCATAATTTAAGAAGGCTAGAAAGACGAGAAAGGCAACAGATAGCTGTAGGATGCTTCAGAATCGTAGAGGTCATTTTTCGATTAGGTCATCGCTGAGGTCATTGAAGATGAAATTATGATAAAATTATGATAAACACAAAGACAAGATTACGACGAAAAAATTCTAGTTTTTATATTTTCACAAATAACCGTATAACTCGTGAACCAAAGAGCTAGAGCTTCGCGGAACAACACATTCGATAGGCCTTTCAAAACGTTTTCGCTTTTAAGATTTGACCTCAATGCCTCATGTCAATGGTTTGGCAACAGAGCAGAGGGCAAAACCATCTAAATAGTCGCATTTTACCAAAATAGTTTTGCTAAAAACTTTTGCAAGAACTTTGGTGAGAAAAATTATGAGACATTTACTTTGTCATCATTCTCTCGTTAACATGCATCGAATGTTAACACCTATAATTTCACATAAAAAGTTCAACTTCAAAATGTGACCGCAGATCAAGGTCATGCCCTTACTTGAGAAGTTCATGATGGTCATCAACTGATCCGTATGGATGATTTAACACCTTCAAGACAATTTCATTACTCTACCTCGTCTCCTATATCCAAAGTAATAGTCGAAAAACTGATGTTGATCTTTTTTAAAAGCTTTTTGACCTAGCCCGACCATTTGAGTGGCCGCTGGCCATCAATTGCACGCTGTCTATCAAATATGGGCAGAATGGTCGTGTTTCTGTAAATATGCTGTTGTTTTTTATGTGCCTCTTCAGATCAAGAGATATTTGTCCTTTTCCCCGATTTGGCTGCTAATGATCAGGACAATGATCTGAACTTTTGTTGTTGGTAAGGGGCCCCCATTAGGTTGAGGGGGGCCCACTTTGCTGGGGGGCCCATCGCGAACGTGTCTCACCCCCGTCGCCAGAGTTCTGGCTGCGCCACTGATGCTGAGAAAGGATAGGTAGAGGAGCAGCTATACAAGAATCAGGCTTCTAGCTTTAAAAATGTTAAATGCAGAACAGAAAAACTACCTGGGGAGGGGGGTGGCAACCCCCCCCCATGTGCGGGCGAGGGTTAAGTCAGGCCACCAAGTCAAGAAGCACTGTCTCTAAGTTTTCTGGTCCAGTAAGGGTATGATCAGTGCCATCCATTTTATAATTCAGATTCGTATGTCTGCGTCTGTGATCTTGTGTCAACAAAGGGACAGTGAAGCAGTAGGTAGGTGATCTGAAATTAGCCTTTTTGCCTTGTTGCAGCATTGCTGGAAGGTAGAGCACCCTTCGTAGTTCGTCTACTTGTCAGTTACATCCGTTAACGTGACTAAGATCTATGCCACAAATTTCCTAGTGCACCGGTGATGTTCATGGAGCGGAAATCCCAGCATCCCCCTCCCCGTGGTGCCACCCTAGCTTTCGGGTCTTTGACAGGTCCGAATTTAACAAGCTGCTCAAGCACATTTACATTCACCAGAGGTCTTATTTGTGCACGGTCGAACTGATCATAATCCAAATTATTTTGTATGTTTGTTTCTGTTTACATGGCTCCTTATTGCGAATAACCGCTGCAAATTGCCATCCTTGGGCGTTTCTTTTTTGGGGGGACCCGGACGTCCCCCTCGGATTTCTCGACTAGGGGGAACATCCCCCGCCCTCCCCGCTTTCGACGCCCATGCCTGCTACAGGAATTTTTAGAAGGTGTCATGGGTAGGCACTTAACCAAAAACTGTCCCGGGGCCTTGCAAACGTCCCACTTAAAGATGAAAGGGAACGTTGATGTACTTAATTTGTAGTGATACACGATACACATCCAAATCAGGCAGTGTTTGAGGTTGTTTTGAACTCTATATATCCTGAAATTTTGGTGTATATTGGTGAGTTTTTTTTTTAAATCACATGCCACTGCATAACCTTGAATCACCTTCAAAAAGAAAACAGGCATATCTCGTTAAGTGGTGAGTGTCATGCATTACAAATTACGATGTATGTATTTTTACAATCACTGGTTACATGATGGTTACCAAAACTTTGCATTGGTGAGTTTTTTATGTGCATTTGCAAGTGTATCTCAGTGCAGTTGTTTCGGCTCTCCCAGTGAATATTTTTTTTTTATTTGGTTTGCTGCAGCGATGTCGCCTCCTGTGGTAATCCACTGGTTTCGCAAGGGTCTGCGGCTGCACGACAACCCGGCACTGCTGAAGGCTGTCGACTACGCTACCCAGTCAGGGTACCATTTGCGGCCCGTGTTTATCCTGGATCCGCAATTTACCCGCTCGGGCCGGGTGGGCGCCAACCGGTGGCGCTTCCTTGTGGGCGCCCTCAGCGACCTGGACAGCTCGCTGCAGCTGCTCGGATCGCGCCTGCTCGTGTGTCGCGGATCGCCAGAGACGGTATTACCAAAACTCATCCGCGAATGGGACGTCCGACGGATCACTTTTGAAACGGATACGGAGCCGTACGCAGTGGCTCGGGACGCGCGCGTCGCCCAACTGGCCCGCGAACTCAGCTGCGCTGTTACCAGTGTGACTTCTCACACGCTGTATGAGCCAGCGCAGGTGCTGGCCGCCAATGGCGGAAAGCCGCCACTCACCTACCAGAGAATGGTGACACTGGTTGAGCAGCTGGGCGCGCCGGTGGCGGCCGAGCCGGCGCCGCGCTCACTGCCGCCGCCGGGCCAGCCTGCCGGACACTTCTCCGTGCCCAGTCTGGCCGAGCTGGGCGTGGACGCCGAACAGCTGGGCGAGGAACTGTACCCGGGCGGCGAGACAGAGGGACTGGCGCGCCTCGAGCGCTCGCTCGCTCGGCCCGACTGGGTGTGCCGGTTCGAGAAGCCCAAGACAGCTCCGAATTCGCTCCAGCCGAGCACCACCGTGCTGAGCCCGTACGTGAAGTTTGGCTGCGTGTCGGCGCGCCTGTTCTACCATCGGTTGGCCGATGTGTACAGTCGCCGCGGCAACTACACCCGACCACCGGTCAGCCTACACGGCCAGCTACTCTGGAGGGAGTTCTTCTACGTAGTTGGGGCGAACACCCCCAATTTCGACCGTATGGAGGGCAACGCCATCTGTCGGCAAATTCCGTGGATAGAGAACGAAGAATTCCTAAAGGCATGGTCTGAGGGGCGCACCGGGTATCCGTGGATCGACGCCGTCATGACCCAGCTGCGCCAGGAGGGCTGGATCCACCACCTGGCGCGGCACGCCGTGGCCTGCTTCCTCACCCGCGGCGACCTCTTCATCAGCTGGGAGCACGGCATGAAGGTGTTTGACGAGCTGCTGCTGGATGCTGATTGGTCGCTGAACGCTGCAAATTGGATGTGGCTGTCGGCGTCAGCCTTCTTTCACCAGTTCTTCAGGGTATACAGTCCGGTGGCCTTCGGGAAAAAGACTGATCCGAATGGCGATTACATCAAAAAGTACCTGCCAAAGCTAAGAAAGTATCCGTCCCAGTACATCTACGAGCCGTGGAAGGCGCCCATCGCAACGCAGAAGGCTGCCGGCTGCATCGTCGGCCGCGACTATCCGAAGCCCATCGTCGACCACGACAAGGTGCGCCCAAGGAACATCGAATGGATGGCTGCCGCCTACAAGAAGGGGAAGGCGGCCCACCCGGCGCCGGCTGCCGGTCTTGGGGCCGACTCTCAAGACGGCAAGGGGCACAGCGGGTCAGCGGCCTCTTCAAAGAGCCAAAAACGATCAACTCAGTCGAATTCAAAGTCACCAAGCAAAAAGACAAGGTCAAAAAAATAAGCGCGATTGGCCGCCTTCAAGGGAGGTTGTGTTTCAGCAGGAAGTTACGGAGACGTTTTCATGACTCAAAGAGGGAATGGGAGACGTGTGTCAGCGGTGTAGGGTTGCTGGGGGCAGAATCGCTCAGCTGGTCAGTGGCTTTTGTAGTTTATCCCAGCACCAGCAGTCCGGCGGTGCATGAAGGTGAAGAATCTCCTGTGGTTGAGCAGACGAATGCTGCCGCTGCTCAGCTCAACAATTAACGTTCTACCAGTGTTTTGGATCGTGTGTTCATGGCGTGTACTGATGGTCATGGTTACATGGTTACAAGGACATGTTCTTTGTGCTAGTATGCTTAAAGCAAAATAAATTTCCGAACATACCTAGAATTCGGCAAACCGTAAAAAGTGTATCTCAGTGTTATACCAGTTACTACTGAACACACTCACCTACATCACATCGGCGGTCGGCCGGTCGGTGAGGCGCTGCCCGACATCTAGTGGTCGTCTTTCGAACTACTACGCCACTGTGGACCGAAGGGTTGCTCAGGCTGAATTTTTATTGTCAGTTAGACCAAGAAGGCGACTAAATCCAGCTAAACCGTCCATATAAAAAGTAAGCCCATATTTGATGCACAGACTTGGACCTTCCGGCTTCCATCTAGTTAGATTCGTCACGAAACAATCTCGATGTACCTAAGTGGGGTTCTTTTATACCTATAACCACAGTCTCAATTTAAAGGTAGTGTGCCAGCTTTCTTGGACCGTATGGAGTTAATGGCCCAGATAAGGAGAACCGGATTTTTAGAACTTATCCATACCTTCAAAACTCATGGAAACGTCTTAAATTCTTCAAATTTTGAGTACCCCAGTGCGAACTTCGCCCCGACGGGTTGTCGGTCGTACCCCAACCACATTTCACACCACTATGAACAATAAATGCACACACTGAAATCGCTATTACCGATATGCTCATCCAATCAAGTTTCGATAAACCCGTTCATCATCAGCTCCTGCGGTTTCGAACACGCCTGTTAGGTGGTGCGGTAGACCACGCCCAAAGCCAGGGCCCCGGTAACGTGAGGTAGCCGAGTCAGGGCAGCGTGCACTGACCCAAGCCGGAGCCGCGCGTCCTCCCGGTGTCATGTGATAGCCCGGGGCTGCCCGCGGGGATGCGGTAGACCGCGCCCAAAGCTGCGGCCCCGGCTTGGGTCAGCGCACGCTGCCCCGACTCAGCTACCTCACGTTACCGGGGCCCTGGCTTTGGGCGCGGCTTCTGCTCATACTTTGTGGTGCGGTGATGGTGCGTCGGGCTGCGCGCTCTGACTTCGGCCAAGAAAAATGCGTCAGCTGATCATTGTCATTTCTGCCACTTGCGTGTGGTGAAATGGGGTCATAACTTATAAGACGGCTTTTTCATATCAATTATTTTACATAAAATCATATTTCAAACCATAAATAATGTTCGACAGCCAAATAAAAGAAACAATACCAATACGGGCTTACAGTTTAAGGCTCGACATTGTGTTGTCTACGATTAGACAGCTGATAACTCATTGCCGTACGTCGTATGGTCGTAACACTATAATGACCCTTGCTTATTGTCACAAGTGCGCCGCATTCGCGATTGTTGCCCGACGCCTGTTTGCAGGTGAGCCCACTACAGTTGTTATACATATCTAAAAACCGATAAACTTTTAGGCGAAAAAGGCACTATTCCAGGCCCATTTTTGATTTTTTTTGCGATATTAGGTAAAAACAGAAGCTTCTTATCCTAGGAAAAATAAAATGGGAAATCTTTCAAAGGTGGCACACTACCTTTAAATTGTATTTTTTATTGCTCAAAACCACCCAACAGGAATGAAGAGCATGCCAATGCAAACATACGGTGCTTTCACACGCCTGCCTAAAAATCAGTGCGCGCCGCACATGCGATCTACACAGGGACCTTATACAAAAGAAAGATGAATCTTAATAATGGAATGATCATTTTCATGCAAAATACACCGAATAGCTTTCTTTCACTGCGTAAAACACACAAACTGCACACTCGGGTGGGTTACGACCTTAATTAACATCAATAGCATGCGCTCACAAAAATGCAGAGCTAAACTGACCACTCTACACTAGCACTTCCCTCCCTCTCTCTTTCTCCCCAGCATAAAGGAAATACAATTCAGTGACTGTTACGAGCCTCTTGCATGGAACGGACAGTTTTTTTTCTCATAAACAGCTCCACGGGGTTCAGGTACACCATGTGAAAATAGGTAAGAACATGAGTGGCTTGTATATGAATATAAAAAAACTATTCGTAAAAACATTTGCTCCAAAGGTAATGAAAAATATAAATATTTCTAAACGTCAGGCTCAGGCGAAAGGTAACGATGCGCTCCGACACCATCTTTCGAGATAGGTGATGTCATCACACCACCTCTGGGGGTGGATTTATAATAAGCATAAATACGAGTTTTGATGAAGTTAGAAGCGAAGTTACTCGCTGTGCAACTAATATTGTATGTCAATAAATACACGTTACCATTCATTAACCGATACAAAATCCGTAAGAAGAGGATATTGGAACGCGGCAGTGAACACCACACGACCATGGAACAGTGACCAAGGGAGGAAAAGCGACAAGGCCTCGCGTTCAATGCAAGGCACAGCTCGCTGGTCCGGCGGAAGCATTACAGAGCACACCTATGTATCTCCGCGGCTGCCTCAGGTATCGGACTCTGAGTGTCCAGTGTTATAGATGTCATTGCCAACGCAGGTGTCGCCCCAAGCGTAGTGCAGGTGGCGCCACATTCACCGAGAAGCCTCCATCACTCCGACCTCTGGGCTCGATTAGCGCATTTAGGCACGCTTCAGACGGAAAGCGACGAAGGCGTCCACCAGATAGATGATAGCGTTGATGATTGCCAGCGAGCCCATGGCCAGGCCGGCATCGCGCGTGTCTCCCTTGCCGGCATCATGGTAGGTCTCCACGGCCATGGCGCCAGCCGAGATCATCATGATGAAGCCGACAATGTTGTACAGAGTCTCCTGCGAAATAAAACCACCGTCATCATTATCCGTCCTCACCATCCTCAGGACAACCCAGCCGCATTCTTCCTCACACTCCCTCTCCGGGCTGGTGGTCATCCCACCTGACAACCGGAGGTCGAGGCTGGGTCCACACCACGACCCGTAAATCCTCTCCGGGGTGACCGTTTGGGAGCGGGCGGACTGTCCAAACGGGGCAATTCGGTCCCATCGGGACGGTCTTGCCTCCGCGGCTCACTGTCGGTGTCCCATACAGCCCAAGGTCTTATGTCTATACTTCCTACCCCATCATCCAATAGCTCCAGTAGCGGCGGAACACCGTTCAATTAAGGGAGGGGGGGGGGGGGGGCACTGCCGACTTTTGGTAACATTCTTTCCATGCAACGCCCATATGGGCTAATGTTAAAATGCCAAAATCAAAGGGCCCGGTGCCCTCCCCGTTCCGCCGCCTATGCATAGCTCTGCAATGGCCGAAAGAGCTTGCTTCTAACAAAACAAAAGCAAAAACCACCGTATAGGTAAAATAGCGGCTGATTTTCGTTGAACACATTAGGAATGACCTTCTAGCATTATCAAAGTAGCATCACTTTGCTAGTCCGTATCTAACGGAGCTCGCATCTAACCCGATTCATCTCACATCTCCTATAATTCGACGGAAAACATTGCGATCTTCTTCCCACTTCGCATACCCACCAGGAACGACTTTTCGATGGCGATCTCTCCGGCGACGAGCGCGATGAGCAGCGGTGCGGTGACGAGCACCATGCCGCCGCAGGCGATCACGCCGACCAGGTTGCGGTCGATGAGGTTGCCCTCGACCACCCAGCCGCCGGTGCCGAACTGGAGACCGTACTGGCGGATCAGCCCCAGGCACGTGAGGCAGATGGCCTGTGGGAGAGACGGGAGAGAGGCGGTGGTCAAAGAGAGTGCTGGGCACTGGTGCATCGAGAGGCGACGGGATCGCTAATAAACTCTGGATCTAGACAAAAGTAACAAATATCTAACCACGTGGAGCAGCGTGTAGGATTGTTTTTTAAGCTACATGCCATCGTCCGACGTTTGTATGTAGGTAGGGGAGAGTGGGGCAATGGCGACACCATAAGCATTTTGCTCAATAGCTTAGCTATTTGAAGCTATTTTATGGTGATTTTGACTGTGGTTATAGCCAAAGGAATAGGCTTTCAGATAACACCCAGTTTTAGTATCTCAGATCACTGATGACAGATTCAGAGCCTACGCGGAAATGTGGTGAAAAATGGAGGTGCAAAAAAGCGAGGGGTAATGCCGGCCACTAAGTGCAATAGCACAAAAAGTCGAAATATCGTCACTGGTATTCATCCTTGAACCGTTCTTTCGATGGAAATTTAAGTGAGAATTAAGAAACGACAACTGTATTCAGCAGTTAACAGTGCACTGCACTGCAACACAACACTGCACTCGCTGCAACACAACAGCGCGGCGCCAACAGAGCAGCAAACTAACACAACCGTAAACAGCAAGCAAACTAACACAGCCGTAAACACAGCAACCCGAAACGTTGAGCTTTAACGACAGAAGTCGCAAACAAAACCGCGTGGAGTCATTCCGGACACGTGTCCGGTATAACCCCGAGGTCATCTTTATTTTAAGAAAGCAGGCAGCAGTCAAAAGCATTGCGTCGCAAACGCCTCACATCCAACAGTCGCCTAAGGAAGGCTTAATTGAAGGTCATTGCAAAGCAGCACTTCCGAAAATGCGTTAACACATTTCACAGTCAGCAAATAGATGCAACAAAAATTAAAAATCAGATACGAAAAACACATTTAACGCTATAAAAATGAAAATAATGGAGCTACCGTGACAAACTTGCACCACGTGCTAGAATGGCGCTCAACTGAAATGTAAACAGCATCAGCTGATTAGTGATGGACAAAGTACTCACTAGAGATGGGTGGCCGGCATTACCCACCGTCCGCCATTGCCCCGCTCTCCCCTACTGATGTTTGCCATGAAAGTGTTTTGAAGCAATGTATCTGTTCGGTTGCGATTTTCATCGGAGTAATAGCCAATAGGCATAAATTGCATCAATGTCCAGTAATCAAGTAGGTTTTATTTCCGTTTTCATGATTGAGTTATTAACGCTCTCCGATCAAATCAAAGTGTGCTCTTTTAAATCCAAATAAAATAAACAATGTCTTTGTCCCTTTTGTATATAGCCAATCGTGAAATAAAATAGAACTATCAAGTACACTCGCAGAAAAGCATCCATTTCAGCGTACCTACACGAATCATTTGTAGAGACCAAATGATGTAAAGCTGATTAATCTGATAACGTCCAAAGCATCGTGCCGCCGGTGGAAATGTCGTGCGTTATGGATTAGCCGTGCGGGGCGCGGGGACACCGGAAGAGCGTTTGACAGCCAGGGAAGGTCGGAGGGGGGGGGGGGTCAGGGGCGGGGTCAGCCAGATCGGGTGACTGGGTGTGGCCCGGTCGATGTGACCGGTCGCCGTAAGGCTCCTGATTGGTCCCCGGCCCATCTCGGACCAGGGGTGTCGTTTCAAAGCGACGGGCGACTGCGCGGCGCTCCGGCTATAGCCGTCACGGACCGGCCAGTGGAGTGAGCCCGGTCCCAGGCTGTTCAGTACCGGGACTGCAGGCGGCCCGTGGTGAAATATGGGTCACGTTGCAGGGATGATTGTTGAGCGGAGTGGCTCGAGCAACGCTCAGGTTTTGGAGTGTCTTGGCCATGGTCCTCGCAGATTAGAGGTTTCATTAGATTGTTATCGGTTATCATGTTATCGGCTTCATGTAGCTTGAGGTAATAAGCGTCGCACCGGCTGCTATGCAAGCCGTTGTAGGTATATGTATAATAGACAACATGTCAACATTGTCAAACTGTGTCATTATGCGTCAACTAACAAGTGCATGTTATGTAGCCCGTTTAAAGCGAGCCACAACATGGCGTGAGTCGGCTACGGCACACCACCGCAGCAGACTCGAACACCTAGTCTAACAGGAGCAGCAGCAACAGGTCATACCGTGACCCGACCTCGCCCGACGCCCATCAACAGGCAGAGGGCGTGCAGGGAGGCCAGTGCTACTAAATGCCACCCACGTGTCGTCGAGGGACCGATCGAGAGGCGTCGGGCGGCCACCTGCCTTGGGAGTGTTATCGGTCGGATAACCGCCAGCTATCTCCCCTCACTTCCCTTTCTCACGTGCTAGTGTCAACTCAAGCACGGCGTGGTTAGCCTTGGGTCAACATCATTGCGTATGACCAGCTGCCCTATTTCTGCCGCATTGTCGCCCAGTCGATGCCATGCCATGGCAGAGTGGACATGGGACTTGTTTTGTGTGAAATTTCCCAGGGACTACATCCAATCAACAACGCTTTATTAAATGATGTGTACCTAGGTACTATCTGAGCTTTGAATAATTGAGGGATCACAATTATGATTGGTATTTATCGTAAATTTATAGCTTGCGGCTGATTTATTATTTTTAAAAGCGTCCATTATTGCCGACGACTGGCATGCTACAAATAGATAAAATGTAGATAAATAAATCGCCAAACAAACGGTCCGATATATACAATGACCTCCACTGTTATCGAGTGCCTGCTGGACTTGCCGAAGAAGACAACAAAGGCACCAATTTTACAAGCGAACCAATATCAGGAAAAGACTGGTGAATTAGCATCCAAGGGGACCGGATGGGCATCCGTTTTTCGCATGGAGATCCGGTGAATAGCGTGAGGCACGCGACCAATGTCAGAGCTCGAAGGAGTTGAAAGGCCTTGATTTAGCACGGTCTATACTCACAAATTTATAATAGGATCTGTAATTATTCACCACGATACATGATTACTTATAGAGTGGCCGTTTGCGATGGCAGCGGAGTTTGTGTGAATAATGGACTGCTAAACCGAATAATGAAGCAGTTCGGCAGGCCAACGGGACTTCCAAGGCTTTACATTATAAATCGCGACGCATGGCTCCATAAGCAAATCATAAGTAAGCTACAACCTGCACGTGTTCTACTTCCATTGAGAACCGTGCCACGGTGCCTGCAGCTTCCTCGGTCAGTGAACACCCGACCTCCATGTCCGATGACCGTACAAGTTGCCTCTGTCCGGACTCGGAGTCCGCACATCAAAAACTCCACACTTGCAGTGAGTAGGGTAAGGTGCCTAATTAGCGACCCCCTTAATTTGAACCGTCATTGCTCACGCTCTGTGGGTGCCTCTGTGTTACTGGCTTGATTTTCGAAGAGATCGTTCATTTTTCTATTAAAATATAGTCATTTTCTGTCCCAATATTCACTAACTTATTTGTAGTGAGCATTTTGGCAAACCATTGCAAAAAAAACGCTAATAGGGAACTCTTCCCGATTAGCGACCGGGGAGGGTCGCTAATAAGTCTATGGGTTTCCCCATATTAAAAATGGCAAAAAATGCGACGCCTGAAAAGATGAAATATGATCTCAAAAAGGTAACCTATACGCAAAGCACTCAATCACTCGAACAGGAACCTTTATCCAACACATTTACGCAAGTAAAAACTGATCACGTGATGCACCGAAGGCGAAAAGAGGGCGGAAACCCAAATTTTGCGGACTTTCTTGTATGATATTCGAGGTCCGCGCTGAATTCGGCACCCCTGCAGTCGGTGACGACATTTGGCATCCCCCGCCACACATTGCAAGCTTCAGCAATACCTCATTTTCATTTCTCACTTTTCCCCTTTCTTTCCCTTCTTGAGCTATTTGCGACCATGTCAGGCGCAAATAGGAAATATGCGTTGCGACACATTTTTAACCGCCATGCTGTGCACAGTTGAGCGATTCACTATGGGAAAACGGCAATCAGTTAAAAAAGGAATGTCACGATTCAGAATAAAAAAGGTGCATCATCCTAATGTGCATCGCTTTTCATCAGAGAGGGCCCAAACACACACGTTTTGGATAAGAAACTCGTCATTTTTATTTAAACTCACCTGAAACGTCCCACCAGAAATATCGACGACCGGAAAATAATTTGATTTGATAACCAAGGTATGGCTGACCTTTTGACGATGTTTTTACCCCGTTTTCTCCTGCCAGTTTTTCTGTAGGGAGGTAGGTCGCAAATCGGAAAGGGTCGCTAATTAGGCACCTTACCCTATGCAAGCAGCCCCTGGACGATTACGCCTTTGTGTAAAAATGCCCATCGTCTTAACACTCATAGGTACTCTCAGTCATCAAAACGGAGTTATCGCAGTCGGCCGTTGCGCACCTAACGAACGGCTTCGCTCGCTTCAGCCAGCCACTCCAGTCACTATTAATTCAAACCACTTGAAAAAGAGGTCTGACGTTAGTCCCAGTGAGCCGGCGCTTTCCGCTCAGACCCTTCTACTTCAAAAACGGCCGTCGGAAGTGACCATTACGCCGGTCGGAGGGGGCGGGGGCGGATGACGGTTCGGGCGGGGGCGGGGGCGGCGGTAGCGTGCCGGCGCGCCCTGTGGTTCCGAGTCGTTTGAGCCCGCCGCCTGCTCCGGAGGGGAGGAGGCGCGTCACGCACCCGCCGGAGGTCGTGCCAGCTCGGCAGCGCGCCGGCCGACCGCCGCGCCGATGTCGACACCGATACGATTCCAGAACGCTGTGCGCCGCTGACCGCAGGCAGAGTTTTCGGGGAACCGCCGCGCTGGTATTGATTGTCGGGTCGCGCTGGCGACGCAGCCTGTACGGTTGTGCGATAAATGCGAGTTCAACAGGTCTGTTGGGCTCTGGTATTGAACTGGACTGGTCACTGCGTTGACCTCATTTCTGTATCGGCGAAGCATACTTGGCGCATCTTTGTTTGTCATCCGAATGTCAAGCAATCCTTCATCGATCATAACAAGCAAATGGACATATTGTCCTTTAACCAAAACATCATCTTATATCTAATTCTGAAAACGAAATAGGTATTCACTTCCTCCTCCCCTAATCCGAAACAATGAACGAGCGTTCACAAAAACGAATTCGAACATGGAACAAAGCGCCTGGCGCCTCCCTCGGCCGGGGGCGTTGACCTGGTCCACCGCTCACCGGCACCGGTATCCGGTCATTAAAGGCGGGTCCAACAGCTACCGACGCACAGAGGAACGGGCTGCGTTCAGAGGCCGGCTACGCAGTACGCATCGCCTAGAGCCGAACTGCGGTTGGCCTCAGGGAACGGTCCGAACCGAGTCGTTTGAGTGTCTCTTGCCCGCAGCGCAACCCTCTTCAGCGGGCCGCGCGAGTGTCACCTCGTCGATCTAACGTCACCGCCCGTCGCGACGCTAACGTCGTGAAAGCGTCGCCGGAGCGTCGCGTCGTGTGGAGTCACGGTCGGGCAGCCGGTGTGTCTCCACGGTCGGCCGATGCGCCGCACGCCGCACCGTCCGCCGGCGGAACACGCTCGGGTCGGTCCGCGCGGGCGGAACTGGGCTCCACGGTCCACTTCTTCCCTGGCGCCGGTGGACCACAGGTGCGTCGCCGTACGAACGACTCGCAGCCAGTGTGACGCTATGGTGGAAGGCTATGAGTTATTGCTGCAGGTGTAAGCTACAGGTGGAACGCTACAAATGGCATGCTATGAGCGACACGCTATGGGTCGCACTGACTACAGGCTGTACGGTACGAGCGGACGTTTTGAGATAAGCGTTACGATAACCAATGAAAGCTACGAATGGGACGCTCTGTGTCTCACTGCCGCTGCGCCGTGCCACTTCATTTCAACACCTGGATGCCAGCGTGGCAGCGTGGGACCACTAATTCACCTGTCTATTTCAGTGTGAACCCGTGTGACCGTGCGGGCCACCACACTGGGAGGAGGGGTGATTGTTCACAGGGTGGCAGGGCGGACTCCGGGGACGTCGGACACCGTCCCTCAGTTAGGGACCGAATGGCCGGTGGAATGTATTGAAATGGAGAGCAGGGCAGACTAAAGACGGGTGTGTGAAATTCCAAAGCTGAGGGACCATTGTTAGGGGAACGGACGCAATGAAACAAATCTGGGCTGAATTAATGAATTGGGAAGAAAGTATGAGACCAAGGGAGAGATAAAAATGAGAACATATCACAGGAAAAAGGACCGCTAACCGTAAAAATACCGTAGAAAATTAAACGTATCGGAGACTGTCAATGACTCGTCTTTGGGAGAGACCAAGTAGCGAGGCCCGGAGGCAGCTCCACCTTCGAAAAGCGCCGCTTTCACTCGCCGCTGACGACCTCGCCAACCGCCGCCCTCCCATGACATCCGCCGCTCAGCGGAAATGACCTGTGACGTCACACTGCACCCCGGGCAGAGAGATTCGGCGCGGTGCGGCTAGTGCGTGAGTGACGTCACCCATCGTACGGTCACGCCGCGGCGTTGATGCGTGCCCGCTGGCGAAAACAAAGCCGGCTTTCTCTTTTGATGCGTTATCTACGACCTACGCCAACAGCTAGGCGCTTGCTGGACACCTGTTTAACAAGGATACCACGCTGCTGAGAAGCCGTTTCGAGGCTGTTCCGTGCCTCGTGATTCGATTCGGCCTACATACAGCGGAGGCCAGCCCCGAGCTTGGATCACACCAGCGCTGTTCTGAAGGCTCGCGTCAGCCGGCGAGCGGTCCGTTCCCAGAAGAAACGGACCGCTAGCGTGCGCGTGAACTTGGCCGGCCAATCTCGATCTCTCCACCCACCCACATTTCCGTCAACAGCGGGCGATAGCCGCTATCAGTAGAGAGGGGATGAGGAGGAGGGGGAGGGAGGCTACCGTCGCACACAGGGCCGATCGCCAGGTCTAGCACGACATGGGTAAAAAAATCGAACTTTGTGGATGTGCAATGAAACCTATACCAATTTGTTCAAAAATGATCATACTACATTGCTGTGGTCTTTGTTTTCCAACACAATTGCTATTTCATGGCGAAAACTTAGCTTAAACACGAACTTCGGAATCGTTTGGACCGAACTCGTCCCCCGCACTCTACGACAACGTATCTTTGATCCACGAAAATAATTATAATTTGAGGAGGATTTCCACATTTATATATATCAAACGATAGCTCCGGGTCTGCAAAACACACATAACCACATCAAAATGGCGAACTCTTACTTGGTTATGATGTATTGGCACCGCAAAGATTTAAAGACGAAAATATAATTTCACACAATTGATGTCACACACAAATAGACTTTTAAAAAAAGTACCGCAGAGTACCGCTTCGAAAATCTCGCTACATGTCAATGATTCATTGCACTACAAGATCCAACAGTCATTTTTTGCGACTTTTTGCGACTTTGGATGTAGCAGCCAAACATCAACCCGCGCCGGACCGGTGCTCGGCGTCAAACGCGCCGGGCCGGGAGGTGTTGATTGAACACTCCCTTCTAACTCGGCTCTTGGGCCACATAGCGACACGTAGTAAGTGGCATTCGAAAGAGCGCCCGAAATTCCAGATGGAGTAATTAGTCATTTCTAGGTCAGGTCAAAGGTCACGTCACCAGAGGTCATCAAAGGTAAAATGTTGCATTTATCAACATTTATCGAAAACCGGCTCTTACCTCGGGGACCAATAGAGCTACATCGTCGCGGAAAAGTGCATTCAATTGCTCTTTTAGCGGTCTTTCTAAAATAAGCCCTCAGATTTGGCTTAACCCTCGCCCATAGTGGCGTTTTTCCAGCCGCGAACGTAGGTAAGGTATAGAAGGGGTCCCCCCCGCCGTTTCGCCCCTGATCGAGCTAGAGCTTCGCGGAAAAGACGAGCGTGTTGCCCGTGACAAGAGGAAGCTGATGATACCCAATTGTAAGGTCCTAGGTCATCGGTTGACCTTCCAGGTCAGGTCAATGACCCAAATGTCGGGAAAATCGGGACCTGTTCGAACGTCGTAAAGGGTGGCTGCTATGGTTTTTTTTTGGTGCTGATCACGAATACAATATTATTTACGATCATAGATGATGTCTTCATACATTTAGGCCAGGTCGGGTCAGGTCAGGTCAGGTCAAAACTAGTAAGGGTTTTGCCGAGCATTTGCAGTAGGTGGCAACCGCCTCTGACAGCTTTGTAACATGTTACGAAGGCGCCAAAGCTACATAGTAAATGTTCAAATGGTTGCTAGATTCGAATTCAGCTCCAAAAACTAGCCTAGAAACATGTAAAACTCGAAAAAGTGAACCAAGGTCATCAAAGGTCAATGACCTTAGCTGACCTTCTGGTGACCTTGACACCCACCCTAATGCATGGGAGCAACATAATATCCCATGTTTGAACGCTTTAAACCAAGGAAAGACTGCAAACCCGCGGCTAATGCGAGTCGACATACGCTGAATGTCGATTCCGGCCAAACATGGTCTCGAAAGAAGGTCACAGGTCAAAGATCATTAAGGTCAGGGTCATGAAATTTTCAGGTTAGCTGTAAAAGTAGTTATCGCGAGGGTACTGAAAGTTTCGTTGGGATCGGCCGCTTTTTACGCGAATTACTCGCGAAAAACCAAGGGTTCCGTTCGAAGATTCAGGCCCTGTCGCGCTAGAATGGTATATCGGCCCACTGTGCGTCGGTCTACAGGACCAAAGGAGTGGTAACGCGAGGGATTATCGGCGAGCACGAGAGCTAAATCATGCACACGCCGCGACATTCCTATATCGGGTGGCAATAATGTGTCGGGCGAATGTAACGAGCTCGTGCTAATACTATACGAATGGTCGCATTTCCTGTGGAAAGAGCGGTGCACTGCAAGGTCCGAATAAGCATCAGGACTGTACGTAAAAGGTAAATTATGTGAAGCTAATTGACCATCGTTACTTAAGTAAACATCCATGTGTAATACATTGCCTTCATTGTCATATGGTGTGATTAAGTTCGCTGATAAACTTTCTGCACTTTGCAGCTTTCTAGTGCGAATAAATGAAGCTTGGCACAATATTTAGCTCGGTCGACTTCCTCGACAAAGAAACAAAGCAAGTCTTAGCGTCGGATGAATAAACAGACAATAAAAAACGCATGGGGCACCGGCTTTGTTGATCTCTAGAAACATACCTTTATCTCATGGAAAATCGCATGCTTAGAAAGATGCTTCTGTTATTATCGAAGTCAAACTGAATATTTCAAAGAAAAGCTTGAAACCAAATCAGTCAAATTTCCCGGCAAGTTATATTAAAAGAGCGTTTATCGGCCGAGGCCCGTCCAAGTTCGATCTTTGATCTCCACTTACGATTTGCACCAGTTTCAGGAGGCCCGAGGGCCGGCACAGGACCTGCAGGTTGGCCATGGCTAGATGTGGAGGGTCGGTCGCACTCGACGAGGTACGGAAGCGTTGTGGGCGGCGGCCCCGTCCCACGCTACGGTACGCTTGCGCTACGCGTGGTGATGGCCAGCGCCTCTGGCGGCGGCTGTGCGAACTACGGCTATTTTGACGAGGAGGGCGGCCCCGCCCACAGCTCAAACTTGGGTTCACCGAGCCGGTAACAGACAGAGTGGGAAGGATGTGGAAGCGAGGGTAGAAAAGCATCGGAAGGATGTGGTCAAAATGATGAAGCTATATGGTGAGGTGGTAGGTGGTTAGTGGTAAGTGCAGCTGTGCGCAAGTCATTTTTTTTTTATTTAGGAAGTTCCTTTTCGGGTAATCAACTGCATCGTTCATTAATCTTTTTTTCTTGGAAACAAATGGCAACATATGGGCCAGTCCGTCCATTGTCTGGTGAGCGCGGATCCTGGTGGTCAAACCCGGACCATACTAGAACGAAGTTCGACCAGAACGAGTCGCCGCACACCGACAATAGCCCGAGAATGTGGAGCGTGAGCCCGCGAGTACACCAGTTCTCACCTGATTCTCACCAGCGTGCCCCGTTCGATGTGCAAAAAGTCGACCGGTTAGTGGCTCGGGCTAATAAACGGCAAGAAACCAATGCTTCCTCTCCTCCGGTTAAATTGTTGTGCGTCATGGTTTATGGTGATAACATTTGAAGGTTTCGAGATGGTTAGATACCTATAAGAAGGCTTATGTATGATAGAAAACGAGCTAAACATCTTCGAAATTTGAATTAGCTGCTGTTCAATGTTTCAAGCTCTGTGTTTTTAGTTTTGGGCCGTCAGGAAAAAGTATACGTATTATTGACGTCGACGGTGTCAAAATTGCTACTGGAAATTATAATAATTATAAAAAAAATTATGAAAAACGTTACTTTATATAATTAGGACGTTCAGGATTGCTACAAACACAATTTAAGAGTTGTGGTATGAAACGTTAATAAATCGGATTATCCTACCCAACAACAGTCCTATAACCCTTGCTTACATCCTCTCATTAAGCTGCACGATTCGGCGCACGCTTATAAACAAACGCATATGGACTCGAAAACATCTGAGTCACCCAGCTCAAGGACATAATGGCAATGCAGAACGGGCTGCTGGTCACGCTCCACCAGATTGGCGCCGTCTATCGAGGTAAAAACACACCTTTGACTCATCTCACGAGCGCGTCGTGACGTCAGTCAACGTCATCATCATAAGCGTCTTAACGTTTCAAAGCTCATACCGCCGAATTCACACCTATTCACCCTGCGTCCCTTCAGGGCCCACGCTGTCCGATTGGCCTTCCATTCGCCCCCGTATCCGGACCCCACCACGGTTCCCGCGTGCCCAATTTCTCCCGGGCGGACGCCGACGCGCCTCCAGCCACATACCGGCCTGGTGCGTTTGGGTGACTTTGACTTTGAGTGATTGGCTGAAGGTCACAGGAGGGAGGCTCGCCGAAGGATCCGGTGCTGCAGTCCATTCGCTTTACATCGTGCTGTATCGAAAACGGCCAGCTGCACACATGCCGCGGCTTATCTGCGGTATACGCGAATTAGCCAAGCTGCCTACAGCTGACATAATTTGATTGGCATTCGATTAGACATTGCATTTTGTCCAGCTTCTGGGAAAAGGATGTTGTTGGCTGCGTGTTGAGTGCCGGAAGTTCGACAATTTTACATGAGAAGAAAAATCACGAATGCGAGAATGCAGCAAAGTCGCAAATTACCGCCTCACACGGATGCATTATTTTCGTAAAAGCAGTTGTTGCAAAAAAAAGACTGACTTAATGCAATTCAGTGTCCATAAATTTGACATTAGAGCGCTCAGTCTTCTAATACATACTACGCAATTCTCACACAAGGCGTCACGTAAGCGCTTATTCCAGGTTTTCCTACTCGTTACGTTGCATTCCACGCTATTCACGTCAGAACCGAACCGGAAATGGTAGCGATCCAGGCGGAAAACCTCTACCACCGCTCCGTCACGGAGGTAGAATGGTACGGAAATTGGCACTCGCAGCAGTATGCAGTTGAACCGATATCGGCGCTCACTCCCACGCTGGACAATTGCGGCAATAAACGCGATGAAGGGATGATGTCATGCATCCTGTATCGTACAGCGTGGGTTGGATTATAATCAGTTGCCGCTGAAGCGTGTTTTTCTCAGTTTGTGCAGTACGTTGAACTTACGCTGTTTTTGCACTGTGCGTCTGCAAGCTATCGCTGTTTTTTGAAAGGCTGCAGCTTGCACAATACCAGACAGGCGTCCACAAACGGACTGAGCAAGTTGCAGAGGGAGGCACTCTGAAATCTCGCTGCCTTCAAGGTCAAACTCTCGTATTTGTAGTCTGGTATGTCTGGTATTGATGCGTGCTATTATCGCCGGATGTTTTCTTAGTTCCTACATTTGAACTTCACAACGGGTAGGCTCTCATGACCTGAAATGTAAATTTCGAACGGCACATAAGGAGGCGAGAGTATAATTACCTATAGTGTTGCTGAATCTAAATATGCAATTATCGAGTAAAGACGAAACAAGCCTATGTACAGCAATGCCCCAATCATCGACAATTATTCTGAATGACTTTTCATAATTTGCTGGCCTACCTTACAATGGTCGAAATATAAATGCTAGAATAGGCAGTTCTGCCATATCGAAACAAGCAGTGCTGCGTTGAAAAAATGAATAATTTCATCATCTAAAGTAATGTGCCTAAGCGACGATTATATGAAATCGCCAACTTTAACTATTCGGGAGAACTTACTAAGTTATATGTATGAAGGGGAGGTGAAAATGGTTTTAAATTAGGGACGTATTAGAAAATGAAACATTAAAGTAGTTTTGAAATAAAATAACATAAAGAGTGTGCACTATGCATACATATGAATACTAGATAGGTAAGTAATGTTTAAACCAAAGCACAACCAAAACAATCCTAAATTTTCCCATGCTATATTGTCCGTGTCTCTGATACCATGTAACGTTGCTATGAATATGAATATATAGAAGTGTAAAACATGTCATCATAAAGGCGCAATTTCCTGCTTATATCTGCCAGAGAAAAGGTAAGCTCATCCAGTCTGGTTTATACCTGTATGTATTTAACATTTAACAAACAATTTAAACGGCGTGAAGCTAATAGTTTTACTCTAATTAACGCAATTAACCTGTCACCGTCCCCAGCCACTCGCCCTCCGTGTACTCACGATCTGAATCAGCTTCAGGAATCCCGAGGGCCGGATGAGATCGGTAAGACCCATGGCTGAGCTTGGGTGACGACTGAGAGCGTTCGTAAGACGGGACCGGTCGCGACGAGGTCTGAGCGTGGACTGACCGGCTCAGACGGAGGACTCGAGTCGCCAGTTCGGTCGGTTCCGCACCGCGTGGTGACGCCCACCTGAATCGGCCGCGCGGAACCGCCCCCTCCCTCCCTACCCCCTCGGCCGTGAGTGGCTCGAGACGGGGGGGGGGGGCTGTGCAGTATGTGTCATATACTCACTGGACTAGGGGCTGAGTGAATGCCGAATGGGAACGGAATTGCCATTGAGAAACTGTTTGGAAGTTTTTTTTATTGATCTATCCAGATTTCAGGTTGAATAAACCATTACATATTCTTACGAATATAGCTTGGATTGGTGCTGAAATAAAAGTTTTATTCTACTTTTGTGGTAATTTTTTTCGGGACACCCTTTATTATCTACCTCACCTACTGATGATGCATGCAATTGCATATGGAGATAGCAATATCTTTGTCCAATACGGTTCGCTTATTGGGTCGAGTAAATAAGATATACCTAATTTATACTCAAGGCCTGTATAAGCTTGCAAAAACTAGATAACAAGAACTAAAGGCGCTAAGCTAGGAACGAGCGGTTAAGTCCAAGAGCCCTTTAACGTTTTTATGTGCATTACCACTATTCCTATAATTACATAGTCTATATAACTATTAACTATTTTGACGGCATTCGTCTGAGCTGCACTTATATTTATGCGACCATTTACAGCCCTGTTTCATTTCTCGCTTTGGGGTTTGCACAGCCAGTGTACTCGTGGTAAACAGCTGAAGCCAGTGCAGCATCAAAGAATGCTGAGAAGACCGTTGAGGCTATGCATATAAACAGGGCATATACATAAACGTGTACGAAATGTGTTTGGATTCCAAAGCAATGACACAGCTGAAATATAGAAGATAGTGATATGGTCGAATAGCTAGAGAAAGCCAGTGATCCCAGGCTTCAAGCCTATGGCCCTGGGGCTGGATGGGTGGAATTAGAAGACAGCTCATGCAGGCAATGCTGGACTCCGTCAAAATTCTTACTTCAATCAAGCATCACTCTTACTTCAAAACAGCGCAGCAGTCTGAGGATGTTTTTGGGTATGTGAACTATGGCCACCAATCAATGCATTCCTACTTCAATGGAGCGAAAGTTTTGCTATATAGTATCAGTGGTGCAGTCCCTTTCCCCATCAGACGAGGAAATGTAATGGGATAATGGGATTTGCACTGGCATGAGGTGCAGTTTTCCGGCATAGAGGCGCAGATCAGGCTCAGCTGTCGACGGGTATAGCCGTGGCCCGCACATATAGGCGATTTGTTGCTGTCAGAGGTCGGTGGTATTCGTTCATAAAACAAAGTCAATTATTATCAGATGGGTTCAGCTATTTGAAATGCTGCATTAGCGCGTCACGTTTGGCTTTGCACACAGAAAAATATTAACACCGTTAGCGGTGTAATTGCACAGTACAAATCTGAGCACTTGAGGAAAGTTAATTTAGTCCCTTCCCCGCTTAAATTACTCGCGCTTCCAAATGAACACCAGGAAGAAGGTAATAGAACACTGTTAGGAGGGTTGGGTGTTTTGCTACATGTAGTAAAACACCCAACCCTCCTAACAGTGTTCTATTACCTTCTTCCTGGTGTTCATTTGGAAGCGCGAGTAATTTAAGCGGGGAAGGGACTAAATTAACTTTCCTCAAGTGCTCAGATATGTACTGTGCAATTACACCGCTAACGGTGTCAATATTTTTCTGTGTGTGGAATAACAGT